CCCTGGCAGCCATCCTGGAGGCTTTAACTCCGGAGTTTTGAGCCTTGACGTCACACCTTTCCTCTTGGGAGCCCAGACGATGGTGTGTCACTGGGGCGGGCTGATCTTCACACAAACCCAGTGACCCTCCCTGGGGCTGCCTGAAATCTCCGTGCTGTGTCTTCCCCCCCCCGCCCCCCTCCGCAACTGGCTATTTCACAGCCCCTCAAGCCCACCCCACAGTGGGGGTCAGGGCCGGGTGTTTGCACAGGGACACGCTGTTCCAGCCTGGTGCCAAGTATGTGCTGGTGTTTGTTTGCGCTTTAAAGCTTGGCACTGCTGGGGAAATATGTGCCGGGCGCTGCCGGAGCAAGCCGAGCTCGCCTCTGTTATTGCTCCTGGTGCCAAGAATTCTCTTCCCAACAAGGATGCATTCCTTGGGGCCACAGAAAGGATTTTGAGGGGGCCGAGTTTTGTCTTGCTGGATCCCAGGGCAACCTGGTCGTGCTCTCACCCTGGTTTGTGGGGGTGGCAGCTGGGAAAGGAGCTGGCGAGGGTCTGAGGGGGCAGCTGGGGTGGATGCACGTCCCTGTTTCTTGCAAGATCTGGGGGAAGAGCATTTTGGGGCACTCAGGACGAGGCTGTGCCCTGTGCTCACCGCAGCTTCCTCCTCTGCTGTTCCTACCAGTGCACAGTGATGCTCAGGATGATGACAGAGGCTTGGGTTTGGAGTTTGTGTCCCCAGAAATGCTGACCAGAGAGGTCAGCAGCTCCCCGTGTCCTGGCTGCCCCCCTGGAGTGGAAAGACCCATCTGAGGAGCTGTGTTCTCTCCCCACATCTGCGGTTCCCCCCATCCCCTCAAGGCACTGGGATTGCCTGTCCTTGGGGTCCTGCTGGCGGTCCCTGTCATTCAGGGCTCGGCAGTGAGCCCACCTGCCTGCACCAGGAGGGGAACCAGACCTCCCCCCCCAGCTGTGGCCCCTGGCCCAGTGTCTTGCTCTCATCACGTCTCAGTTTGGTGACGCCGCGGTGCCTCAGCCGGGTGACTTAGGGCTGATGTCACTGTCCCTGGTGGGGACTGGGGTTCCGTGGTGTATTCTGGTGGCCTTTGAACGGAGTGCGGGGCAGGCAGGCTGTTGCCTGGTGTGCCGTTGGCGCCTGCGGGGAAACCCTTTCCTGACATCAGACCTGAGGCGGGGGGGAATTCTGGGGGCCCCAACTCCCAATTTCCAGTGTCTTGGGTCTGGTAAGGCACAAAAAGGCCCTGAGGCTGGAGTGGGTTGAGCTGCGCTGGTGCTTGGCTTCGCAGGCAGAAATCCCCCCCCAGATGAGCTCTGTGGGATGGCAGCCACCCATCCCAGTCTTTCGAAGAGGCAGGGATGGAGCAAGAGCGCAGTCCCCGGGACACAGCCCCAGCAAGGGCTCCAGCAAAGGGGTGCTTGGGAGACCTCTTCCTCACTGCCCCGGAGCAAAGCTGCAGCGTTTGCCTCCCTGGGGAGCCGTCTGATTCACCTGCATCGGCACAGATCCCTGCGACTTCTTCCCCAGTCAGGTTTTGCCCAAACCAGGGCAGATTTGGAGAGCATCAGGCTCAGTCCTAGTGGGCGAAGGAGGGAGGCCTGTGGCCAGGGAAGACCAGAATTGAGAGCTGGTGCCCCAACGATGCCAAGACCGGCCAAAGCGGCCCTGGGGCGTCCCAGGTGATGGCACAGCAGGTCTGGCCTCCCCTCCCAGGGCACCCACCAGCCCTGTCACAACCCCCCACCTCCAGGGCCAGATCCTGCCTGCAGCCCCAAGGGCACGGGGTGCTGCCCTGCTCTGTGACACCCCAGCCCGCACGGAGCCGGCGGGTGCAAGGAAGTTTTGAGTAACAGGAAAGATGTGAGGCAACCCAGCCGTGACTGGAAGGAATGGAGCAGTTCCCCGTGACAGTCCAGCTGAGCAAGCCAAAGTTGCAGAGGGCTTTCACCAGACAGATTCAGGTAAAATAGCGAGTGGATGGGAAGTGACAGGTTTGGGTTGGAAGGGACCTTTAAAGGTCATCTAGTCCAACCCCCTGTCCTGGTTTCAGCTGGGACAGGGTTAATTTTCTTTCTAGTGGCGGTTGTGTTTCAGATTTGGTATGAAAGGAATGTCAATAATACATACTGTTTTAGTGGTTGCCAGGTGATGTTTATAGTTTTCAGGGACTTTTTTGCAGCTTCCTAGAGAAGCTGAGAAGAAGCCTAGACAGACCTATGGAACGGCGAGTGGAATGTTCCATGCCACAGACGTCACGCTCAGTGTATAGATGGGGCTTGGCCGGGGGTGGGCGCTCGCAATCACTGCTTGGGATGGTGCCAATTCACCGGATGGTGAGTGACTTGTGTCATTATTATTATTATTTTCCTTATCTGATACTGTTCTATTAAACCATTTTTATCTCAACCCACAAGTTTTTTTTTTTCCTTTCCCCTCCTTTTCTCCCTCTTCTTGGTGGGCGGAGGGGGGTGAGCGAGCGGCTGTGTGGTCTCAGCTGCTGGCTGGGGTTAAACATGACACCCCCCTCGCACACACCTTGAGCAGGGACATCTTCAACTAGATCAGGTTGCTCAGTGCTCTGGAATGTTTCCAGGCATGGGGCACCCACCACCTCTCTGGGGCAACCTGGACCAGTGTCTCACTACCCGCAGTGGAACAAATTTCTTCCTTATAAGGAATTTAGTCTGAATCTCCTCTCTTTTAGTTTAAAACCATTCCCCCTTGTCCTATTGCAACAGGCCCTGCTAAAAAGCCTGTCCCCATCTTTCTTGTAAGTACTGAAAGACCACTATAAGGTGAGAGCCTTCTCTTCTCCAGGCTGAACCCCCCCAACTCTCCCAGCCTGTCCTCCCAGCAGAGGGGCTCCAGCCCTCCCAGCATCTCTGCGGCCTCCTCTGGCCCCGCTCCACCAGGTCCATCTCTCCTGTGTTGAGGCTCCAGAGCTGGAGGAAGCACTGCGGGGCGTGTGTGTGTGTCTCACCGGAGCGCATCACACTCTCCACTTCCAAGCAGCCCTTTTGGTGTATGCCAGCAAGGGCATCCTGACTCCTGCGTGCCAGGGCTTTGCAGCATGCTTGCAGCCTCGCCAGGGGATGCTTTGTGCTGCAAAACCCAGAAAGAAAACAGGGACTGAGGCAGGGGAGGGACACGCAGCCCCTGAGAAAACGGTGCTGGCTGTAAGGGCTGCACGCCCAGTGCTGGGGGGCCGCGGTGCTGCCCAGCTTTGCTAGTGGGACGCGGGGCACTGCGGTCTCCCGCGGTGCTGGGGGCTGTACCCTCATTGCTGAGGGACTGTTGCGCGGGACAGAGAAGGGCCGGGGGCCTGCAGCAGGGCCCGCCAGCACCAGAGCCGGGGGGCGACCGGTGTGGGGCCTAGGGCGAGAGGGAGGGCATCCGCGCCGTTGAACCGGAGCAAAGCCCAGGCGAGGCCCAGCGGAGGGTGGGTGGGTCGCCTCTCTGCGGATGCGGCGACTTTTTCGCTCTTTTTCACCCCAAAAAGACACGGCAGAGCGAGGCCTTGCCCCCATCCCCGCAGCGCCGACCCATCGGCGGAACCGGAAGCGGAACCGGCGCGGCCGCGCCCCGCCCACCGCCGCGCCCCGCGCTGGCGTCACTGCCGCTATATAACCGTCAGCGACGCTCACGCCCGCACCCGCACCGCGCTGGTCCAGACCGGGCG